GGGGCAGGGGCGTGGTCAACAATAAAGGTATTCCTTTATCTTATAGGGTTCGGGATCCGTGAGAACCCATCTCGAATGGGGTAGGAAATTCTCATTTAAACGAAGAATAAGGGTGGGAGTAGGGAGAGATTTTTTCTTATTAGATAAATGAGGCCAGGGACTGTGTTTGTATTTCTTGTCTTCGTCCCTACTCTACCCTATGGCACAATCACACTCTTTCGGTATTGAGACAACGATAGTGTGACACTTGTTCTAACCTGACATATAAGTCAGTTGTGTCAAAATTGAAGTTTGTTGACAATTTTGATGTATGATCGAGCCTCGAGTCATGTTTGGCAGAAAATGTTCTATGAGACGTGAGTGAGGAAATACGTTAGAAAGAGTTTGTAAGAAAGTAATGTTATAGGCTATAAGTGAATAAGCATCGACCACAATTTTGATAGCATATAACTTGGATAAGAAAAATTGACAACTAGTCACATCTCCCTAGCTTAGCATCGACAAGATAGGGATGACCGAGAAAATGGGTTGCTTACTTGTAGAATTGCTCCAAGAATCAAGAACACGTGTATTCTTTGAGCCATCGCCTAGTGCTTACAGTGGGAGGCTTCACAAGAATGTTGAGACAAGCATCCGCTCGAGAAGATAACATCAGGTTGGACATGAACAACGTAGAGAACTAAGTTGTAGTAAGACTATATAAGTGTCATTGTAGCATTTGCCACGTACTGGTGGCCAAATGAGAAGTTGGTTGAAGTCTAGTGCCAACATGAGGCTGTATACAGCTTCTAGACATTGCTTCTAAAAAGGGTTCTGGCCCTGACGAGAAAACGTTATGATTCAAATCTCTGTGTGACTACGAGAGTATGATGGTTGAGGCCAAAGTGACCATGTTCGGGGTGCGCTCCCTCTAATTTAGGTGAAAAAATGCATATGCTAGTTTTGTCATTGATTATCTAGTGAGTCCCAGGCCAAGTCAATGAGAAGGGCAAGTTAGGTCTCTACTAGTTAGGTCTCTACTGGGAAGCCTACAACCATCAGGCGGTTATGTTTTGTCTTGATTATGCTATCGAGAGAATATCATTAGTGGGATAGACCAAAAGTAGTGCGCAAGTTTTCGTATTCATTTTGGAGTACGATAAAGTTTAGCGAGTCAAGTTAGCAGTCTGTTTTATGTTTTAGTCGTCATCGAGACGATGTCGAGATTAAATGGGGGAGATTATCACAATCCACGATGCGATTGTGCCTCCGAGTTAGTCATCGAGGATGTTGACTAGTTTAAATTGGGAAGAATGTCACAACTATGCTATAAAGACAATAGGTTGTGACTTCCACACGTAGACTGACAAGGTAGTGACTCTCAAATTGTGCCCATCCGACCATGTGAGTGTCGAGACAGACAAGTCTCATGACACGACCGAGGAGGATGGTGTATTATTCAATACATCAAGAAGAGTGTGCATTAAAGTCAAGCTGAGGTATAAGTAAAATGGGGAGAACAAAGCGACATGAATGTTGAAGACAAGCTCGAACAGAGCTGAGTAGACCTCCAGAACATAACCTCAGAAGTCAAGGTTTCGATATGATTTTCAACATGCGACTCTAAAGTTAAGTCCATCTATATAAAAGATGAAGGCTCACCAAAATTCGTGTCAATTGGACACATGACAGACGTTCCACAGGGTCGTATGCCACTAGCCAAAATCACGTCTACTCCAGAAAGATTAGAAATGCTTCAAAATGTACCGTAGGAGGAGGCATGGTGTCAGCTCTCAGCCACCCCTATGTGGCCTAAGCCAGATACTTTGTGGCACATACGTGTGTTACAGTGAGGGCGAGCATTGCGAGACCAGTACCTCAGGCAACTTCCATTGAAATGAATCTTTCAATGACAGTGTCAAACGACATGGATGTGTCTACATTGCGCCCAAGCCCGTGTGTTGAAAGTTGAAATATGCATCCGCTATCTGGTATGGCTTTCACAAATGATTTAGCATGGACATGGGAGGATCCATGCCTCAATAGAACCAGGATGATGGATGTTCAAGAGGCCCTTATAATATGAACGATATATGGGTCCATTCTCGATGGACATGTTCAAGTAAGCTAGATAGTCAATTACATCACGAGGCTTGAGAGGATATCATGACATGAAGGCCATGGAATTAGAAACCAAGATGAGAATATGGATACGAAGTTGCATATGAGAGACCTTGGCTGCGAGTAAAGGCAAGGTCGAGCCAGATGACTTGCATGTAGCTCTTAATTCATCATGTTCTAGCCCAATTGAGGCTCGTATCGTATCATAATACCTCATCATTGTTCAACTATGATAGTTTTCCATGATTTCTCATGGTTGTCTCAATAGGGCCTACTGTAATAATAGTGATACATCATCATCATCGACTCATCTAAGCACATTAAACCATCACAGTTACATAGAGAATCCTAAAGCACACTTAAAATTGTTAGCTCATCTAAGCACATTAAACCATCACAGTTACACAGAGAATCCTAAAGCACGCTTAAAATTGTTAGCTCATCTAAGCACATTAAACCATCACAGTTATTTTCATGATCCGTGAGATGCAACCTCATTCTACTTTTAAGACTAAGTGACTCGCTATGAGACATTGTGGAATAAAGTCAATCAATACTAGATTTTCATCTACAAGGAATTAGATCCATAACGTCATGTCAAGTTATGCCTCGTGCATGCTAAACTACTGGCTCGTCCACCATAAAGTCGATCGATACTATACCTCGTCCACCATAAACCTCAAAATGATAAAATCAAAAACTTAGATCATAATGCACATAACATTAGAATCCCAGCAGGCTTTAAAATTGTGGCTAATAATCAGCACAAGGTAATATAAAAACTAATATGAAAGTTTACAGAACCATTCAAAATCTCACGACATCAAATTCTGCAGGTAAAACACAAGGGTAAAGATGGAACCAACACTCTGATACAAAAACATCTTACTGGTACTGGTTAATTTGTAAGTTCCATTATAGCAGATACAATATCACCATCAGCTGCTTTGAGTGCTTTCACGGCCCTTGGTCTCGATACTCCAGCTTGAGTCATCACCAGTTCAATGTCCTTGGGTTCAACCCCGCTCTCATCGACTACTTCATCCTCATGAGCAACGGCTGATGGCTCAGGCTTTGATGTCAAGTTACTCAAATTTGGTGCCTTGAACTGCTCTGCAGCTTGAGTCTGTAGTTGGGAACTCAAATCTTCAATCTTGGCTTCCCCAAAAACAATGTAGGTATCAGAAGTGGGACTCTTGAAAACATCTGGTTTCGAAATGACGAAAAGAATCTGCGAGGAAATGGTGATCATAGGTATCAGATATATCCGAAATGTGAGCAAGATTATCGAACTGACAATATTTTAGAAAATCAAATATTGGACATAAGGAAAAACTAACATTCTTGCTCTTCTTGACTGTGACACGGCTCACACCAGGGATTGGCTTCATCCCGAGTTTCAACATTGCCTTGCGACTCTTCTTTTCGCTTCTGCTTTGCTTAGACCTGCCACTGGCCTCTCCATGGCCTGCAACCAACAACTCCATGCTCACAACATGTTCTAATCAAAGTATCAAGGAAACAACACAAACTAACATAATATGGAGAATGAGTAAGGCAACGTGTAAGGAAACACATCCTAAACTCATTTACTGAAGTTATATGATAACCATATATCTCCTGAATAATCCAGCCACAAGCTGTCTCGTTCAACTTGAAAGGAATTTTCTACTTGAGACCGAATGCTGAATTAAATAATGATTCAATCTGAATGCTTAACAGTACCATCCGAAGTGAAAAAAAATGCATAACTTAAGAATTAATACGAGGATCCTCATACTTAGTTACTTGTTTAAATATGCATATACCTTCTGCATCAACGTCATCTTTGTCATCATCTTCATCATCATCATCGTCATCGTCGTCATCCTCAACTACAGGCTCGTCAGGCTACAAGATAGTTGGTAGAACAATATAAATTTACAGGGTCGAATTTCATTCCAGCTAAATAGGTATAATAAAAGTAAACATGTTGAGCAAGCTTCTTAAGTAATCTTGGTATGTGGGGCATCGAATATCTACATCTTCTGAAGGTTGTACAATATTCTAAATTTAAATCCTCTACCACTTATTTTATTTCTACACCAAAAATACAAGCAATTAAGAGATTCCATCAAGAAAACCAAATCTCCTCCAAGACTACACACGGAAAAAAAACTTATAACCAATAGAAATCGCTTCTAAGATAGGAACTAAATAAATGATCTACATCTAACAACCCAAAAACGAAATGAAACTGTTAGACTGAGTTCAAAAGAAAAGAAAACTCGTATTTTCATCTGATATCAAACTACCACAATAGTACTATACCAACTAATCAGAAAATCAAATGGATTTCAAACAAACAAGGACATGAGAGAGAGAGAGAGAGAGACAGATACATTAATCTTCTGCTCCTCGAGATGAGCAGCGAGAAGCTCTTCCTGGGTCTGCGCAGTCATGGCGATAGGGATGAGAGTAGAAAGAGCAGCGAGACGAAGAGACAAAGCACAGCGAAATGTTTGTCGGACGAAGAAAGAAACCCTAAAACCCAAATAGCTCCGATCGTTTATATTGGATCCCCCAAATGACCAAATTCGGGTCCGGGTCCGGGTCCGGGCACGGTCTAGGGTTAAAAGATTTTGGGCATAAATTGATAGTGGGCCGTTATTGAATTACTTAGCCTATAGATATATATGCATATGGTATCATTTAATCCATGGAATTAAAAAATATGGCATCACTTAACTCTAATATGCATGTAATCTTCGAGGTCTAGGTTCAAGCCACACCGTATTAGGGCCTGAAATTCAATCAAAACTAATCCGTACAATTTGAGTTAGATTGAATTGAAAGGTTGAGTTAATCAATAAATTACCCAAACTAACCGATACAATCTAAAAATGTTGGGTTGAATTGAGTTCATTGTCGAATAATTTTTGTATAGCTTCATGAATACCCGAGAACCCCCCATAGTCTGGCTAATGATCAGCATAAGGTACATATAAAAACTAACATAAAGTTTACGGTACATTCAAATTTCTCGACTTCAAATTCAGCAGGTGAAACATTTGGGGAAAAAGATTCCAACATTCCATATAGAAACATCCTCCTCCTGCCTGCCCTTATTAATTTGTAAGTTCCATAATAGCAGACACGATATCGCCATCCGCTGCTTTGAGTGCTTTCACGGCCCTTGGTCTTGATACCCCAGCTTGAGTCATCACTAGTTCGACGTCCTTGGGTTCGACCCCGGTCTCATCGACTACTTCGTCGTCTTGAGCAGCAACAGTTGCTGGCTCAAGCTTTGTTGTTAAGTTACTCAAATTAGGAGCCTTGAACTGCTCTGCAGCCTGGGTCTGTAGTTGGGAGCTCAAATCTTCGATCTTTGCTTCCCCGAAAATAACGTAGGTGTCGGAATTGGGGCTCTTGAAGACATCTGGTTTTGAAATGACAAAAAGAATCTGCAGGGAAAATTTCATAGATGTTAGATGTATTTAGGTTGAATCAATTTAGGAAATCAGATTTGGGACTTAGAGAAAACCAACATTCTTGCTCTTCTTGACTGTGACACGGCTCACACCGAGGATCGGCTTCATTCCAAGTTTCAGCATTGCTTTGCGACTTTTTTTTTCGCTTCTGCTTTGCTTAGACCTGCCACTGGCCTCTCCATGCCCTGCCACAAGAAATTCCATACTCACGACATGTACCAAATTACCAATCTAGTAACCCTTCAGCAACACACAAACACGAGAGACTAAGAGACTGAAAAACATCAAGGAAAGATTCAAACTAAATGGAAATGGTAACGGTCCAAGGCCACCGCTACTAGATATTGTCTTCTTTGGACTTTCCCTTTCGAGTTTCCCCTCAAAGTTTTTAAAACGCACCTGCTAGGAAGAGGTTTCCACACCCTTACGAAAAATGCTTTGTTCTCTTCCCCAACCGATGTGGGATCTCACAATCCACCCCCCTTGGACCCAACATCCTCACTGACACACCACTTCGTGTCCACCCTCTTTGGGGCTCAGCCTCCACGCTGGCACATCTACCAACACTGATACCATTTGTAAATTCCCAAGTCCACTCTTTGGACTTTTTTTTCGGGCTTCCTCTCAAGGTTTTTAAAACGCGTCTATTAGAGAGAGGTTTTCACACCCTGATGAAAAATGTATCGTTCTTCCTCCCAACCAATGTGGGATCTCAAAGACATGGACATAAATTATTTGTTTTAGCTTGATAAAATTTAGGCTATATTACAAAAATACCTCTAAATTTTGTCATTTGTTTGACAAATACCTTTCTTATTCCAAGAGATCCAACATTACTCCGGACCTTACATAAAAGTTTCAAAACTAACTTTGGAGTAGAAAAAACCACTTAAATATTGGACGAAAAGTCAATGTGTCTAAATGTCATTTATTGAAATTTAATCCAAGCATGTTCTACTCACCACCACATAATTCCAAGTTACTGTCACATCCATTTTTCATCTAACATTCTAATAGATTTTTATTTCAATACTAGTTTTGAAACATTTATGAAATATCAACAAAAATATTGCAACTATTGAAAGAATAAGAAACCTTTTGAAACAAAGAGCAAAGTTCAATAATATTTTTAATTTAGCCTAAAATTTACTAATCACACTTCTGTCCATACAAATTAAACTCGTTTATAGAAGTTATATTATGATCACACACAAACATATATGCATGCCCTACGAAGCTCCACATGCAGAATTATAAGCAAATAACATTAAGAATCCCAAAAGTACACTCATTTATTGCTTTAGAAAGCATCCGTGTGAAGAAAATGCTAATGAAAACAATAACTCAACTCCTAAAGCTCCTTGCCGCATTCACCTTGTATTAAAGCTGTTGAATGAATGTATCTCAATCGTTTAAAATAACTGAGTTTCCACATATTATAGCAAAGTTAACCAAATGAATAGATAGAATTTGAAAAATTCTTAACAATAATGCACTACTACTATATGCACAATGCAGCAAAAATTGGAGAACTTAAAGAGCTAATAAGGAAATTCATATACAAAGTTAATAGATAAAATATTAACGTACCTTCTGCATCATCCTCGTCTTTGTCATCATCTTCTTCATCGTCATCATCACCGTCCTCAACCTCAATCACAGGTTCATCAGACTGCAATAAAATCATGAAAATATAATTTTACGGATCCATATACAAATTAATTCTGATTCCAATTAGATCTGTAAGGTAAAAATAAAAATTTGAGAAAACTCTTTTACTTATAATAGAACTAACAGTTGCAGAATACGTAATGTCAAATCCTCAACCCCAGATTTTGTTTCTTGATTGATTGTACTACTAACACCATTAAATACAACCATATGATTCTAGAATGCTGACATTCCAACTAAATACACTCCAAATGCTTTCAAAAAAAAGAAACAAGGTCAGATTCAGTTACCAACGCCAAATCTCCTCCAAGACTAAAACCGAAAATGAATTCAAGCCAAGCAAATTACTCTTATGTACTGGAATTTGGAAACATATATATAAAAAAAAACATCGGAATCGATCAAGGAAATGTCTTAAGTCATAAAACAAGTTTAAAACAAGAAAATCCATCACTGCAGCTGATTTCAAACCACTACAAATCACTACCAACACTAGAGGAGTAAAAGAATCAATTCCAAACCGAGATCCTTCTGACAAATTTTTCAGTTCAAGCAAAAAGAAGACACGACAAAGAGAGAGAGATTACATTAATTTTTTGCTCCTCCAGATGAGCGGCGAGAAGCTCTTCCTGAGTCTGAGCAGTCATGGCTTTGGAGATGAGTAAAAGATCAGCGACACGAAGCGAAAACCACGGAGAGCTTCTAACGACAGAAGAAACCCTAAAAGCCCAATTAGCTCCGGCTTACTATATGAGCTTATTCGGTCCCGGGTACGGATCCCAGTTCGGATAAGGATTTTGGTATTAACTAATAAATTAAATATTAAATTACATGTTTAATTCATAAACACCGTCAAACATGATGAAACGAAATAAGGTATCTTAATCATGTCATAGATATCATAGTGAACGACAAGACTCAACGCTATAAATAGTCATTTATATTGTTTTAGTATGAAGATTTTGGATATAAAAATGAAAGTTACATGTTTGTTTGTTAAGCATGAGTTTGTTCCTTTGCATTTCTTGTATTTAGATTTGAATATTAGAGTCATTCAAATAATTTTGATCAGGTTATCTTATGGAATGATTCGAATCACGAGTTTATAAATGAGTTTTCTTTACTCTTAGTCTTGATCATCAAGATAATTTGTTCCAAAACTTTTTCTTAGGTTAATTACAACGTTCTTGAATAATTTAGATCTAAAGGTATGATTTTTCGACAAGGGTGTTAGATCAAATCCCAAGAATTTCATAGCATAAGGATTTGAATCTTTGATCTCTTAATTGATGATACATGTGTTTATAGCAATTGAGTTACGTTCATGTTTGATTAAATTAACCTAAATATAATGTTTTAACTATGTAAATAACATATTGGTTTCAATTATGCTCTTACATATGGAAAAGAATCGTGTTAAACGCTTAAACTACCAACATTTGTTTACCATATAATTATGACACCTGAGTAAAGAAATGATACATGAATCAATTAACGACTACATCTAAATTAATCCGTTCTGATATGAGTGAGACCTATCATATCAGTTTATATTTTCTTAGGCGACTATCCTGAACGGGTTAATTGGATGTGTATTTACTGTTCTACATACAGTTCACATGTGCGAGTATGGACCCACTAGTCGGTTTGCACACCTCGTGGGCCCCTTTTTATGGTCAGGCGAGCATTCTCTAAAGCTGTTGATGTCAAACACCCATTAGATATAGCAATTATCACAGCATTATGATAAACATAATGATCGTTTTCTTACCTCGTAACGTACGCGTCCGTACCATCATAATAAGGAGACATTCACCGATGCATGAATACACAATGATGCATAATGTCCCAACATTTTCATTCATTATCATGTAAAACAACCCCTTTGTATTTTTCTTCACATCATATTATTTTTCAACACATAGTCTTAAAGGCATGTATCAGGGTTGAATTTCGTATCATTCATAACATACATGGTCTTAAAAATATTGACTTTCTTTATTGTCAAAAAAAAAAAAAAAAAAAATCAGACATGAATTCATCATCAAAAGGAGGCACATCGAAGGAGTAATGAGGCCAGAAGTTAGCCTCAGATTCCATCTCATGCCAGCGACTCGAGACACGTCCCATGGAGCCTCAAACAGACATGAAGATAACGCTCGACCCAAAAGCCCAAAGCTCTATGACATCGCCCACACATAAGTGATTCTTGAACCACACCTGATCCGTAACTTACATGCCAACCCAATCTATGATTCGTGCACCACGGGTTGACTCAATCTATGACCTACTTCAACTCGCTTGCCCTCCAACTATGGCTTGCGCTTGACTCGGCTCCTGCTTAAACGACTTGAATAGAGCCATTTTTATGAGTTTGGGAGTGTTTTAAGATTAATATAGCTATTGTTTGGCCAATTTACAATATCTGGAGCCAAATTTAGATCCGTGGGAGAAGGTAGGTGAATTAATTTTCATATGATGTCTTGAAACTCTATAGGTGTAATTGAACATCTTTGAGCAAGATCAGGCTAACACCAACTAAGGATATTAGTGAAGTCAGCTTAGACCAACGAGATGAGTGACCTTACTGTTGGCACGCCTTTGGACTAGATTGAGTTGTATGAATAACACATACTTTTTAGCTTATATGCGTGTTGTTACTTATATGATGTGATATTTTATTATCTTTATATGATGCATGTATTTTCAGTATGTCAAACTATGTATGCTATGATACCATGTTCATGATATACCTATGAGCACCCCTAGTGAATCCATGTGCGTGCAATAACCATGTGTAGAAAAGTACTACACATCTAACCCTAGAAGTAGAGCCAAGAAAATAGTCACGGATAGGAGTGACCACGAACCATAACGGTATGTGATTGCATTTTCGAACCTCAATTGTGGAACTATGAGTATTTTTAAATACTCAAACCATATTTACTATTTTTCTACGTAAAGGTAAGACTTACAAGTCAGGATAGTTAAATTTGTGCATTCAAGTGGTAGCCCTTAGGTTAGGGTTGGGCAATTGTATTTCTTTTTCTCTGATAGTAGAGGCTCTTTTCCCGTTTTAAATTATGTTATTTTTATGATACTACTATTAAACTTAAAATAAATCTACGAACACCATTCCTAGGCCCTGTGGCCTAAGTGAATTACCCTGTGACACATACTTGTGTCACGGTGTGGGAGAGCGTGTCAGGCGACTTCCTTTGAAATGGGTTTTTCAAGGATAGTACCGGGCGGCACGGGCGTGCCGGTATTGTGCTCCAACCCGTGTGTTGGAGGTTGCTACATACACTTACTATCTGGCACAATATCCATAAATGACACAGCATGGGCACTGGAGGGCCAATGCCTAAATAGAACCCGGATGGATGGATGTTCAAGAAGTCTCAATGAGATGAGCGACATGCGAACTTGTTCTCGATGGTATGATCGAGCAAGTTGTGATGTCCGACGACATCCTGAGGCTCGAGATGGCGTCAAGACATATGGACCATGTCGATGGGGATCGAGATGACAAGATGAGATGCAACGTTGCATTGAAAGACCTTGACCTCGAGCAAAGGCAAAGTCAAGCCGAATGACTTTGCCTAATGTAGAAGCAAGTCGGTTGTGTCGCATACGATTGAACATCCACGCACAAGCGGCGTGTGTGGTCGAGCAAGCTTGGATTCCGCACAAACGATGTTCGATTGGCTAAGATTTAAGTACATGACAACATTTAAAGTAAATTATTTTAAATGATTTTTCACATCTAGAGTTGTCATAGATGATCTCATTGAAGAATCTTGTATGTCTTTTGGCTCGAATATGATTGACATTAGGTCTAACTATTAGGCAGGATTGACTCAATCTACTTTTAGAGATATCTAACGAAATTAGTTTCAAATCTAACCCTCACGCGACATAATTTGATTGCTCCTCTCTGTCTTAACCTTTCTAGCTTCTCTCCTTCAATCCTTCTGGAACTCCCGGGTTGGTTACCTCCTCTCTGTCTTAGCTTAGCCTTTCTAGACTACCTTAGGTCATATAATGAATCAATATTAAATAGGTGACATTAATTCGAGAACATAGTATAAATTTCTAATTGGTTTCAAACTTATGAATAAGTCTCGAATCAACCAAAATTTGAAAACCCTAAACTTTTTTGCCGTTCAAGTTATCCCATATTTTGTCTTTTTCATGACGTCCGAGCTTTGATAACCCAAGCCCATCCAATTGTCAGTCAATAATCAACCGTTAGATGCATCTCTTTATTTGTAGATGTAGATTTTTCAAAATTTGAAAATTTGAATTAGAAACACCTCATTTCATTTCGGGTCAAAAAATCTCAAGTAAAGACGGTTAGTATTAGAGTGATATCTCTTTTTAAAAAGATGTGGTTTAGAGATGAATCAAGTAAAAAGAGAAGTACATGAATGAACCGAGATTACATTCAAATGAAGACAATCCTTAAAAGAAATGAAAACTAATACCAATACCAACAAAATACACCTTTCATTTTTTGGCTCATTCATGTAAACTCAGAGGTTAAGCGTGCTTGCTTGGAACAATTCAATGAGAATAAAACAGATGGAAATGACTTAGGTTGATTAGTGGGCATAGTATTCATTCTTAAGAAGCAAAGAACAAATAATCTGACCATGTTGCAAGAAATGCAAAAAATTATCGAAACTATTATGTGATCAATCAAAATTCAAAATCTTGATCCGAAACAATAATAAATAAACAAATGATATGATGTTATTTTAGTTTTCTCCTTAAAAAAAAAAAGCATTTAAATTGAGAATGAAGCCAATTTGTTTGAATCATCAAATTTGGAAGCATTATGGGTGTTGAAAATTCCAAAGCCAAGAAAAATGTTTTAAGCTTCTTTTCTCCGATCGCAAATCTAAACCTTTCAATCACATCTACCAATATGCTGTATAATTTAATTCTTTCACCATCTACCAATACATGTCAAGATAGACAAAAGTACGGTAGAAATGGAGACCTTTCCCTTGAGTGGAGGCGAACTGATCGATGAGAAAGAGGCCTTGCAGCCAAAAAAACAAAAAATACACAACAAGATTGAACTGCACTCATGCCTCTTTCACATCAATTTGCCGACCCCCACTACATAGTGACTACATCAATCATGTACAGAAGTGGCCGTCCATTCTAATGGGTATATCATGAAAAAATCAAGCCATTTGGAACTAAACGAACTAAAAAGGTTCAAATCTCCCCCACAACAGAGGAAAAGCTAGGCCATACCTTGCTCAACCCAACAAGAAAACTTTTACAGTTTACACCAGAAAGGCTCCACCTTAAATGATAAAACACAAAAGGAATAATTAGGAAAAGTAGGTTAAATGTAAGCAATTCTACTTATAAAAAGAAGAGTATGAAAAATAACAAAAAAGTTGAAGCGTAAGCTTTAGCCGACCCAAATCTTTCAGAATCATCTACAATATTTTATCTTAAGGAGTTGATTGGTATCTTTCAATGTCATGTTCTCCTTCAAACTTCTGTCAACGCCTGAAACTAATTCAACAAATTTCACCGGTTTTTCCCAACTTTTACCACTCAAAAGAACAGAAAAAGAAAAAGATCTTGTCCTACCAAAAGGAAAAGGCAAACAAAAGAATTCAAGGCAGTTTAGCTTAAGCCTATATGGGACTCCCAAAACTACCCAACAATAACCGCTCAAACTCACTACTAGCAAATATTGTCCATTTTTGCCCGTTAGATATTGCCATCAGTCTCACGATTTTAAAACGTGTCTATTAGAGAGAGGTTTCCACATCCTTATAAGAAATGTTTTGTTCTTTTCTCCAACGGATGTGAGATCTCACAAATGTACATTTTTCTAGGACTTCGACTTCTTCCAATAAGCCATAAATAGCTTGTAGAATCCAATGTCCACATTCTTTAATCTTCATAAGTCCAAAACAGCTCCCTCAAGATGTTGAATTTAATGGTTAAAATGTCAAAATGCTTTTAAAAGTCAGGCTGCTACAGGGCTAAGAAATAGAAAACTCCTTCGAACTTCCCTTCAATTATTAAAGCTATGAAGTGGCCAGTATTGTAATTGGCCCACGTTGACTATTCATAAAAGGAGAAAATGTTCATCATAACCGGCACTGAACCAGACAATGGAAAGACTTAAAGGATTGACACAGAAACCACCTCTTCAATAGAGCAGAAATTGAATAAAATTGATCAGATCAGATACACAAGCAGAAAAGGAAGCTCAAAAAGAGAGAAACATGGGAGTGGTTGGTTGCAGCAACGATGGATACCTGAATGATGCCAAGTTCAGCGAGCCCATGCCATGGATTGGCATCTACATAGCCACAGCCTCTTTGGTCTGCCTCTTAGCAATGGCTGCCGATCTTGTCCACGGCTTTCGCCACAGAAAATTCTGGTTCCCTTGTAAGTTCTTCACTCTTAACTCTACTTCTCTAACCCTGATAGCTGTGGCCATCAAACTCTCTGTGGATCTCAACACCTCCATGCCTGGCAGAGAGGATCAGCTTGCAAAGCTAAGTAGTGCTGTGTTGATGTGCACTATCATGGCTAATTGTATGCCTTCTCTTGGATCTATGGAGAATCAGGAAATCTTTATGAACATTATGGCTCTGGGGATTCTTGTTATTACTCTCATCATAAACGTCTGTATGGAGATGGGAACTGGAGTGATCTATGTTTATATGAAAGAACAGGTTTCCATTCTAATCTTGATGCTTGTTTTGCTTGGCATCTTGAGTTTTTCTGCTTTAGTTGTTCCATCAACTAAAAGCTACCTGGAAATGAAGTATAGCCTACGACATGAATTAGCATCAAAAGAGTGCAAAGCAAATGAAAAAGAAGGCAAAATAGCGGTTGAAAGACTCAAAGAGGGTATGATAAAATATTGGATGATGGCTCAAACCTGCAGCCCACAGTTTGTGATGGGTCGGTCCGCTACATGTACTGCTTCTGGGGCAATCTGCCTTCTTAGTGCTGGAATTTTAGCAGAGGCCATTCTTACATCTTACTTAACGAAGAAATCCTTTAAGTTCTGCAATGGCCAGTCGGATTATAAATGGTCAATCAGTTTTATCCTCGTGATACAGTGTGTTGCAGTGGTAGTAGGGACTATTGCCCCAGCAATCAGATGGTTTGCAGCCATAAAATTCAGGCGTCCAAAGCTGGGAAAAGAGGGCTACAAGAAGGAATTCACATTAGAAAACTATTGGATCCAATATCTGGTAGAGATGAAGCAGTGTCCATTAAACATCAAAGTTAAAAACAGAAGATGTAGAAAGCTTGTTCATAGTACAAAAAACAAATTTCTGGACGGATGTATTATCCTACAAACAACCATAGTGTTCACAAGTAAAGTAATTCGACTCATATCCATTTTCCTTGTCGGAGGAATCTTCTCATTCTGTGATTGTTTCAAAAGTTTGAAAAACAAGTTATGTTTTAAAGACACAATTTCTATGAACAGTTCTGGGTCAGAGGTAGATACTGATTCAAAGATGGATCTCAGTCGTTTTGTTCTGTATCTTGAAGGTGAAGATGATCTAGTTCATCTCATGATTGCAAACAATTATCATGCCACACATCACTGGATTCAGAAAGGGCAGAAGAAAAAACCTAAGATTCTCATTCACCTGCTGGAAGGAACTATTATGTCACGAGGTTTCAAGGGAGTGGCAGAGTTTGACAATCTTCAAGTTCCATGTCTTGATTCCCAACAGCCCCAAAATAGCTGGATGCTCCCTGTGGTGACATTAACAGTCATAGCAACTTCTCTTCCAAACATGAATCGTAGATTAATCAAACACTTGTTACGCGCAGTAAACGAAGGTCTCAAATACATACGACTCATCGAAGATCACCTCGACACCAAAGGGGATTTCATAAACCTAAAGAAAGCAGCCGAAATCGTTTGGCTAGGGATCGATCTACACCATAAATGGCTGGACATAGACATCCACAAAATTTCACATCATAAAGAAAGTCCAAAGGAAGTTCTCGAACAGCTTTCAAATTGTGCAAAGAAAATCTACTCGGCAGAGAAGAAGACAAATCAACATCTATGCTTGAAGCTAAGTCCTTCAAAATGGCCGATCAAGGTACTGGCTGCGAACTGTATGTACAGAATAAGTGAATCGATGCTACTAAAATATGAAAAGAAATACGGGCACTCAAGTGAGCAATTGTTCACAGAAATCGAAGCCATTATCGGTGCCATTGTGGGAGCGTGTCTGACAAATTTGGAGAAAGTGATATCAACGAAGTGTTCGAACAGTGCGATTGAAAAACGAGAGAAGAGTGTGAGAAAAGCAGCTAACATTCTTGGGAAAACGGGGAACATTTTGAAACTGGTTGAGAAGACGACGCTTCCTGCGCTTGATCCGCATCAAATGGAGAGCATTGAAGAATGGCGATTGTTCTACAAGCTAGAGATCTAGCTCTGCTGAAAAGTGAAGCTGCCATAACAATATTGTTTGAATTAGTTCCAAATATAAACCAAAATGTTCATACTATAAATGCAAAAGGTAGGGACATTTTTAGACCATTAGCTCCATGTAACAATCTGACTTCTCTTAACACGCTCACGACAAATTTTAAGGGAAACTCAAGTTCTATATTCATTTTTTGCTCTGCTTTTATGGCTTTGTCGAACCTTAGTTGGAGTTTATCTTCTTCAACTAAATACAACTTGGGCAGAATCTAAGTTTATTCACCCAAATATTCCATCTGTACATGCACGTTCAATCTTCTACGACCCAACCGACTTGCATCTACACGAGGCCAAGTCATTCTACTCAATCTTGCCTCTCGTCCTTTCAAATTTTCAATGATTAAAGTTATGAAGGGACTATGTCTACCCAACCTGCCTAGCTTTGAGCCTACTCCCCTCCCCCTACACTCGAACCAAGCTATTCTTTTCCGTGGCATGACCCTTGTGGTTCTTATTGTCTCCCTAATGATAACCTTGTAGTTCCTTTTCATGTGGCCAATTCAGATCTTTCTTCATAGCATGACACCTTGTCACGTTGTTCACTTGGACATTTTTACTCATGAGTTATATATAACCTATTTGGGAGTACATAATCCATTCACGAGTAAGCCTCCTACTAGCCTAACCCGATTGCTAGTCATAATCAATACCACAATTGAGGAAGCTTCTGAATCGTGTTATCTAGAGACTTTATCTCTTTATGAGCATGCTTCACAGGTATCTTGTATGCAACCACGCGTGTGGAACTAGAGTTCAACTCTTAGTCATCTAGGTCATTTATTCGAGGGTAGGTTCCAGAATCATGGTGTTTGTCCTTTCCTCTCTCGACGATAGAGTGACCATCACTTGTAAGTGTTTTGACTCTGATCATAGCTCAAGGTCCTAGTGTTCTAGTTCAGTCTAGGCGGTTGAGGTCACATCTCACATTCTAGTTCAGTCTACTGATTCTCTAGGTGTACCTAGGTCTAGACTTCTATCATCGCTCAAAATCCTAGTGTGCTTGATCTACTGGAAATTTTCTAACCTAAGTCAACATGTAAATTGCTCTATCTCTAACGCTCTAATCTTATTCTGGCTGAAGCACGTTATACTAGGGAGATATAAAACATACCAACAATCACCTAGAACTAACACACAATTACATGCATACAAACTTGCTAAATGAGAGGAGAAGTCGTGTTGGTTGGGTGACACATGGCATGTCTTGACGGATATCAACCCGTCAAACACCCAAATTTGATATGTTCAACATTCTTAACATTTGATATCAACCAATCAAACACCCAAAATTGATATGCTCGACATTCTTAATATTTGTTAAAAAACTCCGATCAAATTTCAACTTCAAACGGCTATTTAGAGCTTATTTTTATTTCTTTTTCTTCGTCACTACCTATTTTCTTTTATATTTTTCTTGAATTTGATTGTATCAAAATTTGGCCTCTCAAACACTCAATAAAATCTTAGAAATTTGAACTTAACATGGAAATCTTAGAAGTTTAAACTTAAAATGAAAAATCAAAAAATGAATTTTTGTCGGAACTCAGGTGTTACACCCACTTAGAGTCTATTCACACTATTAAGAGCCTTGAATGGCGATGAGAGCTTGTAAGGTATCACTTAGGAAGCTTTCGACTAGCGTTTAGATGTAGATACGAATGAAGTTTATTAGGGAGACTAAGAGATACCTATAGAGAGTGATGACTCTTTCATACATGTTCGATTCACCCTATAGCCCATAATAGATAAGGGCACCCCGACTTATGTGCAAGTAATGTAATGACTTATATGGGCCATGGAGAGTAGAAATCAAAGGTTAGTTACACCTAGAGCCCCAAGGAAATCCTAATAGGTGAATCCACGTGTGGATCCGTGACTCGAAGCTTCAAAAGGCATATCATTTCACTCTCGCACTTGAGTAAGTCAACCACCCAAAAATTGGATAGTTGGTGGCATAAATGGCCTATGATTTATCCTCCACCTCGTTTTTGAAAAATAGCTTTAGAAAACGAGATTGGTTAAAGTTTTGGAAAACTTTTGAAATTAACGTTAAAAAATAATGTTATAAGCTAGTAAGTAATAAGAAACAACAACCGTGACATCCAACACATGCAGTCACACCAACAAATACATGTATTAAGATCCCAACAACTGTTACGTTTGGAGTTGCTCAACAAAATCAAAATTGAGCTCAAACAAATCGAAAGCATTTGAGTAATTTTAAAGTGATCTCTAAATTCATAGGATTTTCTAGATTAGGTTAAGGAGACTATAAGATAACAAATTCATCGTAGAAGATCATTTTTAGGTAGTGTATCTTCATATTAATCTTAGAATTAGGTTAGTTATGTGTTAATATGTGATGCTACCCGTTCAAGTAATGTTTTTAATAAATCTTAAAATTGTTGGTTCGGTTCTTTCAAGATGCTGGTATGACTCACCTTCTCTATCACATGGTTATGTTATCCATGAAAACTATCACAAACTAATGCAAATCATTTTAAGATGGGTTGATATGACTTAGACATTTTTTATGACATGATCAGATACCCTATGAAAATTGTCACAAAAAACCATTGGGCGTTGGTATGACTGACATTCCCTATGGCATGGCTTTCAAAATGTGTTGGTATGGCACCAAAAATCATTCCCTGTGTCATGGTTATGTTACCCATAAAAACTATGACTACAAACCAATGCGGGTCCTTTCAAGATGGGTTGATATGGCTCGACATTCCCTGACATATGGTCACGTTATCCATGAAAATTATCATCATATGGTCCGACATTCCCTAGGATATGGTCACGTTATCCATAAAAACTATCATCATATACCAATGATGAAAGGTATTAGATTCACGTGAATTCTTTTTCGAATGAATAGTATAGTTGGTAACATTTATGTTAAGAAATCAAATTAAAAAATATTGTTACAACTAACTAAGAAACTAACCCATAAAGTCGTGAACTTTCAATTTGAAAAAACAAATGAATTTCAAAAGAATTAAAAAGAGATGGGTGGTAAGTGAGCAGTCCACCATCGGAAAGGCCCCAAAAGGCGTAGAGTTGGCATTTGCAGTTCTCTTACTGTTCAAGTTACTCATTTTCAATCCAAACCCTAACCCACAAAACATCCATAAAACTAATATATTTTTAAATCTTCAACTTGAATTTCAATGACCCACATAAGGAAACCAGTTAGAAACCCCCAAGTAAAGTAGAAATTTCAATCTCCAAGCAATTCTGTGGCGATTCCTCACCTTTTTTTTTTGACATTAACACCTTTCATATTCATCGCAATCTTATTATTACACACACCCACATTCAAATTTCACTTCCCCACTTCTTGTTCTCACTCTCAAACCCAATAATGGGCGCACCCAACTCATCCCCAGCGGAGCAGAGCCGGAATGGCCCTTGACCCACTTCCCCACCATTCTTCCCGATGGGGAAAAACGACGGAGAACACCCACCGCCCTCCGCCGTCGGTTCCGCTCAGTCCCAAGGCCGATGCTGTTCTGGGTGTGTTTCAATTCGAAGGCTCATTGGCTTCAAATGCATCTTCATTCTGCTATTGTCCGTTGCCTTGTTCGTTTCTGCTGTTTTTTGGCTGCCCCCTTTTTTCCATTATGCAGATCAAAAGGATCTGGGTCTTAATCCCTCGTATCGAGGTGGGGTTCTCCGTCGATTCTGAAATCTTTTAGGGTTTTGATTGTTCGTCGATGGGTAACTAGATCTGGGAATTGCTCTGAGAATCTGGCTTTGACTTTTCTAATTTTGTGGCTTGTTTCTTGCTTATTGTTTGTCGTTCTATGATGACTGAGGAAAATGAGGCTATTTAAGCGAATGAGATTGGTTTATTTGATGGATTTGGGCTAATTTTGATCTGGAATTTGATGAGTTTTTTACGGCGCTCCTCTCGGTGCGCTGCTAGAGTATTGCCATTTGAATCGTTTGGTTTGTTTTGGTAGAGGGGAAATTAATGGTAGCTTTGAGTAGCGGAAGAGCCCTGATTTTCAGTCTTTGATTATCACCTTTCCTTATTAAACATTGGGTAGCTCATTGAATGTTGCTGTAGGGTTGTTCTAGATTCAGTTCATTACATGTCTTCATCATTGGCAATAAATTTTACTTACAAAAGAATATAGAGGCCTGGATTGCTTGCTTCAACTAAATTTTGCTAGTTGAGTTGTTCATGATAACTCATTGCTAGGATAGAAAAGATCTATCGTTCAAAACTCGAATCGATTGACCTTTATCACATCATTTGGTCAAAAAATCGATTTAATTTTGATCCCATGTCTCACTAATTGGATGCAAGTACTTTTATCCACCTCTACTCATGGATAATACTCAGATGTTTAGTTTTAAAGCTCAATGTTTGTAATTCGAAATGGATCATCCATTTTACAAAAAAAAGTTTCAGAGTTGGTTATGATTTTTCACTTCTCTGTGGATAGATGGTTAGGTTGGTCGAGCCATAGGGTTAAAAGGACGTTTGGTAATGATAATTTTGGGAGTGTTTGAGTGCAAGGAAGTTCTGGATTTGGTTTAGTTCTTAGCTTTTCGTTGCAGCTCCTTGTCCAAACACTTCCATTATTCAAAAGCCTTGTCGTAATCATTTCGTATATAACGATTCACAACAGTGTTTTTGGTTTTTTCAAATGATCTCTACCACTTGTTAACTTGTACATATCAATTTAAAATTGAGTACGAGTTATGTGACTAAGTTCGTAAACTAGCGTTTTAGTTTATTTCAGCAGGTTCGTATAAATGGAGTGATTTGATTTCCATCTCCGTAGCGTTGGATATTACCCAGTATTCATGTGTCAAAGTAAGGTTTTGACTCCACAGTTCTAGACTGTTGCAAACAGAGTACTTTGAGGTCAGTGGAAACCGCCGATGCAACAGTTTCTTAACTAGAACGGGAGGTGATCGTGTTTTTGTTGGCTTATTGTTGTTTTGACTATAATAGTTGCAAAAGTAGTGTGTGAACTTCTTAAAATTGTTTAGATTCACAAAACTGTCTTATATAGGCATAGTTAGAGCTGCTGTAATTGAAATAGTAATTCCTTAACTCTATCGTTCTATCTCGAAAACTCGACATATTATGGGTTGCAGCTAAAATTTATATCGTCGATGAAGAAAGTGCGACATATCAGTATCTCTTATGTTAATTTTTGTTTCCAGGTCATGATATAGTAGCAACGTTCGTTGTTGAGAGACCAGTTTCTTTGCTGGAAGACAATATCGAGCGACTCCGGACCGACATTTTTGAAGAGTTCCCTATACCTTCTATCAAAGTATCTACTCTTTTTCATTCTCACTGATTGTGCCTCTATATCTTAATGAGTTTTGATCCTATGCTCTTCTAAATCAGGTGGATATACTATCTTTAAACTCTTTATCAGGATCAAACCGTACAAAAGTTGTATTCGGCATTGATCCAGATACTGATGATCCCGAAATCCCGTCAACTTATCTGAGTTTAATCAGGTCGACCTGTGCAAGTCTAGTAACAAATCAGTCGTTCCTCCGCATTACTAAATCCATGTTTGGGGAGGCGTTTTCGTTTGAAGTACTGAAATTCCCCGGAGGAATAACGATAATCCCGCCTCAGAGTGCATTTCTTTTGCAGAAAGTTCAAATTCTTTTCAACTTTACATTGAACTTCTCTATTCATCAGATTCAAGTACATTTCAGTGAACTGACAAGCCAATTGGATGCGGGATTACGACTAGCTCCCTACGAGGTTTCGTGTTGAATTATATTTTACTTTTATTGTAAAAGTTAGCAAATGTCTTGCTGCTCGAGTTTGATCTAGTTGTGTTGTTCTAAATGCAGATTTTGTATATTAAACTGTGGAATGCGGAAGGGTCGACTGTGACTGCCCCAACGATTGTCCAGTCATCTGTTCTTCTAGAAGTTGGAAATACGCCATCGATGCAACGGTTGAAGCAGCTAGCTCAGACCATCTCTGTTTCTAATTCTAGCAACCTCGGCCTGAATAATACCGAGTTTGGAAAAGTGAAGCAAGTTCGCCTTTCCTCGATTCTTAAACACTCCCTCAATGGTATGGATGGGAAAGGCCCCATAAGGTCACCTTCTCCAGCTCCTACACCACAGTCCCATAACTTCCATCATCCACCATCTCACCACCATCACCACCATCATTCTCCTCTAACGCCTGTAATTTCACCTGCCCCTGCGCCTGAGACAGGTGCACCGGAATATGGGTTGCCTGCCCCTAAAAGTGCAGCATCGCCTAAGCGAAGTTACGAGGCAAAGCCTCCTGGTTGTCAATATAAGAGGAAATCTGGTAGGAAAGAGGGAAAGCAACCTTATTTATCCCCGCTTGCGTCGCCCAGCATATCTCCTGTTCATTCTGCTGCATCGCCATCACAACAACATCATGTCTCTCCAACTCAGGCATCGACTCCATTGCCAAGTGTCATTTACGCTCATGTTCAACCACCATCGAAAAGTGAGTCCAACCACCCCGAAAAGTCCACGACGAGTCCATCCATTGTGCCATCTCCATCTCCATCTCAATGTGAGTAACCAGCCGATTCATACACTTCGTTGAAGAATCCCATATTTTCCATTGTTAAACTTTTTCGACTGATTCGACTGATTTTGCAGCTAGCGCACATCATTGGTGTATGATTACTCGGTGGAGATTCACACTGTCTCTAATTGTCGCATTCTACATGTAACATTAAGAAAGAAGACTAGTGGTTTTGTGATGAGCACGTGTCGATAACGACGAGAGATGCTTATAAGTGTGAGAAAAGGAAAGCAAAGGAAAAGGAGGCATTGGTTGTTGAATGAAAGTGTGTAAATATGATGCCTGATTAAGAAAGTTGTTGCAGGCAGATGCAGTTTCAGGTCAAAGCCCACAGAGGTGGCAGGCCTTCAGAAACTTGCATATTTTCCCACTCTTTTGTGTATTATCTTATCATCTTCTTCTCCATAAAATGCAAAGAGAAAAAGAAAAAGAAGAACCAACATAGCAAAATGCTTAACTTTTTTCTTTTACCTTCATTGTTTTTTTCTCTCAACCCTTTTGTTTGTATGTATATGTAAGCAAACACATAAAACAGTCTATGCCTTGCCTTTTGTGTGGGTCGGAACTATCTTGAAGGCACCTTTCTCGTTCGAGAATTTGTGGCATGTCAAGTCCCGGTAAGGTTTTTATAAACTTATGATCATGACGACTCCTTCCCTAGAGCCCTCAAGTTATACTAACTCTTCCTTAATCTATTTCGTCACAATCCAAAATTTAAAACCTTGGAAATCCAATCCAATCATGACAATATATTTATAAGCATTTAAAGCAACTTGCTAGTAAATAACTAATGTTATGAAGTATTGTCTTTTACTTAAAAGCTAATAAGATGAAAATCATTGTGAAAAGAGTAAAAAATTATAAATAAAAAAAATTAAATTAAATGATTATCAAGCATCAAAGGATTTATATAAATGATTAAATCCTAAATAAATAGTTGAATTTAAAACCATTTATTTCTAGCATTGTTGTCCACAAAGCTTCAAAATTTTAGTGATTAAAAGAAAAGGGATACAATCCAAAATAGAGAGAAGGAACAAAAAGGACCAGAATCAATTGATTGGCAAATACATAAAGTAAAAGTGTTTAGAGAAAAGACGCTGAAAATAAACAAAAACAATGCACGTGTGCTGTCAAAAGTAGTGGTTGCTGACTCTTTCCCAACCAAAAACGCTTTCTTCAAATTCATTCATTCGTTCAAACTCTCTTAAGCATGATCGATTTAGCAATTCAATCAAGAAGAAACCAAAACACTTCACCAGAACATTGAATCCATACTCCATGATTTTACAACAATTCATTCACTCGTTCTTGATTTTGATTTGAATTTGATATTTCCAATTAGTTTGCCCTAATATGCAACCAGATCATCCCCTAAACCTGTCGTGATTTTCAGAGCCGCCATTGGCGAACGAACAATAACAATTCATATCACAGACAGAAACAGAGAGAGAGATAGAGAGAGAATTTTAACTTTACAAAGAATTTGCTGTTTCAATCCGCCACAGATTCCAGACCTTCTCTTCCTTCTCCAATTGCTTCTAGCAACGCATCGGTGACTTTGTTTTCTTGTTCATCTTGTTCGCGCTGTACGGAATCTAATTTCTCCTTTTCTTCGTCTCCTCTTACTCCGCTCGCCCAATCGAGAACCGATCTCTGTTCTTTCTTCTTCTTCTTCTTCGTCTCGGTTTCGTGTGCGATCGAGTTGAACGATCCGAATTTCGGAGTGATCTCCGCGGAGAACCCGCAGAATTTGGTGTCGAAAGTGAAGGCGAAGCTGGAGTTCGACGCTGACGTCAATTCGTCCAGATTCTCGAGCGCCGTCGGACAGTGCTTTCGGCGTTTAGGTTCTCGAAGCAAATCGGGATCCTCGATGCCTACATCACCGGAATCGGAGGCGGCTGTGACGGTAACGGCTACGGCAGGTGGTTCTACAGGATGATCGGCGGGATCTGAATCGGCGGCAACGAAAGAGGAGCGGGAGAGTGTTGAGAGTGATGGATTTTGGGCGAAAGTTTCTCGAGTTTGGGGCTCTGCCATTTTCTTTGCGAAGAGATACAAATTCTTTTTCTCTTATTTTTTTTACACTTGGGAAAACTATTTAAGCATCTTCGATTTCAAATGACTGAAATACCCTCCATTTGATTATGAAATTTCATGTGAACCTCACTCCAGTGATCCCATAGTTTTGGCATTATTGAGATATGTCCACGTGTCACACATCATTTTAAACAAATTATTATTAAGAAAATATCGTTACTCTATAGATTTATAAGATTAATCATAATAATAATAAATGAGATGAAATCAATAATAATAATATTTTTATTAATTACTTAATTTAGAATATTTTTATTGAATAATTGAATACCTGACTTCTTTTTAAATCTAGTGCCCACTACATGTAAACTTCAAAGATTATAAAATAATTAAAAATAAAACATTCCGAGTTATAAATTCAACTAAAAAGTCAAACAAAGAAGAAAGAAGAATAGTGAAGGTAGGATGATGACAAGATAGCATAGTGTCTCTTTTCGTCTGTCGCTTCTAGAGTCTCAAGAGAGTATAGTGTCTCTTTTCGTCTGTCGCTTCTAGAGTCTCAAGAGAGTATAGTGTCTCTTTTCGTCTGTCGCTTCTAGAGTCTCAAGAGAGTATAGTGTCTCTTTTCGTCTGTCACTTCTAGAGTCTCAAGAGAGTATAGTGTCACCTGTCGCCTTTTGTCGCTTCTAGAGTCTCAAGAGAGCGCAGTGTCTCCTGTTGTCTCTAGAGCATAGTGCCTCAAGAGAGCGCAGTGTCTCCTGTCGTCTCTAGAGCATAGTGCCTCAAGAGAGCGCAGTGTCTCCTGTCGTCTCTAGAGCATAGTGCCTCAAGAGAGCGCAGTGTCTCCTGTCGTCTCTAGAGCATAGTGCCTCAAGAGAGCGCAGTGCCTCTTGTCGTCTCTAGAGCATAGTGCCTCAAGATAGCGCAGTGCCTCTTGTCGTCTCTAGAGCCTCAAGAGAGCGCAGTGCCTCTTGTCGTCTCTAGAGCCTCAAGAGAGCGCAGTGCCTCTTGTCGTCTCTAGAGCCTCAAGAGAGCGCAGTGCCTCTTGTCGTCTCTAGAGCACAGTGTTTCAAGAGAGCACAATGTCTCTTGTCGTCTCTAGAGCACAGTGTTTTAAGAGAGCACAATGTCTCTTGTTGCCTCTAGAGCACAGTGTCTCAAGAGAGCATATCACTTGTACTCTCGAGAGCCGGTAAGAAAGTACACATAGATATGTGTAAAGATTATAAATTATATATAAGAAAGTGAATTATGGGATTACAAAAGAGGGAAAGAGCTGAAGAATATTTTCTAAGGACACAGTAAATCCAATACCTGCAACTAAAACGCAATCCGCACAGGCATTTGATTCGTGTCACAAGCAAAAATATGAGGAAATTTGTGTAAAGAAACGTCATACAAGGGAAAGGATGGCTTGCCTAACTCACCACTCACTTTTACCCCTCTGCAACTATGGTCGTCTGTCGTCTTCGTCATCGTCATCGTCAACATCGTCATCGTTCATCTATTCTATGATAAACGAAATATAAATATATTATACAGTTCCTTCTTCTCTAGTAACGAGGATGGGCGACCTGCTGCATTCCACCACATCCACATCCATATGATAAACCAAATCAGAACTTGCAAGAAGTTCCCATCCTCAGTAACTTCGAGCCTACGTGTCTCGTCTTGTCGAGTGCTTCTGGTAAGAGCTTCTCGAAACTATCCAAGAACAGCTCCCACTCTTCCCTACTCATTTCTCCGAACATGATCGCCCCGCTCTCGCTGTGAAGATTCCGCACAGAGAAACTCTTGCTCTTGATCAAACTGGTGTGGTTACTAGTTTTCAGAAACATGTCATTGATGTGGTCATTGTGTGTGTTGTTGTTGTTTTTATTGGATTCAATGTTGCACAATGTGGTTGTTGTTGTAGTAGTAGTAGTGTTTGATTGAGTTAGAGGATATGGGAGGTTAACTTCAGGAGTGTCTTGGCATTGGGGATAATAAAAAACCTCTTTGTTGAGACCATATTTGCGTTCGCTTTCGAATTGAAACATTTCCGGGTCTTCGTTTTCGTGTTCGCCTGAACCGATAATTGGTACAAGGGCCACAGCTTGAGCACAAAGGTTCTCTAATGCACTCAAGTTTTCTTCGCCACAGCCGAATTCCCGGGTCATCATTTCGCCAATGTCAGCAAGACAAAGTCCAAAAGCTACAGCTTTTTTCAGAAAAATGGTACACAGAATGAGAATTCTAATGGAGGCCTCCCTTATACCAGGAAGCTCAGATCTCAAGAGTTGTGCATCTTTGAAGGGATCCAGATTGGCAATGTACTCAAGTTCAGTCTCAGAGAAAGGAACTGAGGCCTGAGGCCAGTGAAGCCATTCAAAATACGGATCATCAAGCCACTCGGGAAGGCAAAGTCCATGATCAATCGGCACGAGCTCAACCTCCCCAACGCCACAATTCTCATGCCTTTGCTTCTTCTTCACAAGTAAATTGCCTGCATGCCTATCAATATTTAGAAGTCTGATATCAAAAATCCCAATGCGATGAACAGCAGCGACCGAGAAGCTAGACGGACCCAGCTCTCCAGCATCACAATCATGATCTACGTAACTCTGGAGTGATGCAATCTTGCACGGAGGAGGAGTTGTTGTTGGAGTCCCAAATGAATCATTAACATGGAATCCAACATGAGAAATTTCCACCAAAGCTGTTGGAGGAACACCGACAAAGCCACCATAGTCTAGCAGATAAGCTGCCAATTCACGAATCCCAGTTTCACCAATTCGAACCGAGCGCTTCAAACCAGGTTGACCCATCAACCTACCTACAAAACCTTTTGGATTATTACAGGCAAATGGTTCTTCATCGATAGGCTTTGTCACAGCAATGTTAACCCCACTTTCATTACACAAGATATAGGCACCACCTAACCCACTCGACACCGGTACCGGATCCACACCACATGCCAAAGCGTTTGCAGCCTCTTCTATCACAGCATGTAGCCGTGCAGTACTACGGCCAACCACCATTTTTATTCTTGGTTTGTTCTCAACTTCTTCTACCAAAGATAGACACGGTGTCGAAAAGCTTCGATGTATACAAGCAACTTCAAATGCTTCTCTCAACGAATTCACAAGATTGGTTCGGTCGATTTCACCATTGCTGTAGTGAAGATGACTATAAGATTGAAGCTTACATCTCTGAGACCGGCAGAATGGTTTAAATTCACGATGCTGATTAACCACAATGGCCATCTTGTTCATGCAGCTTACTGACAGTTGCATGCCAATGAATTCAAATATTATCACGGTTTTCCCTAAGGATCTGTCTTCCCTGTAATAAACATCACTCCCCCAATCAAACACCACAATTTCAAATCAAACCATTTCCCATTTGCAATTGATATCTATTCGATTGGAACAAATGAACAACCATAGCAGCAAATCAATATCTATTCCATTATAGAAACAACCATAGCAGCAAATCGGTATCTATTCCATTATAGAACAAATGAACAACCATAGCAGCAAACCAATATCTATTCCATTAGAACAAATGAACAACCATAGCAGCAAGATACAGAAAGGAGGATAGTTCTTAGACTTTATTACCCATTAAGGTCAGATTAAGTTGAAATATATCAGATGCAGCTTTGTACTTCAGTTTATGCATGATTAACAAATGCACGCCGTTTTCCACCCAATTTTCTGGAATCCATCACAACCTGAAGAGAAGTTAGAATCAGAAAATCTGAATATCATGTTATGAAAATCAAGTAAATGATTGTTGAGTGTTAGCATCAAACCTATTAATCCCTCGCCCCTTTGCATATAAATCACCCGAATGTTCTGAAACCAAAATAAAAAAGCTCATCATATCATACTATGATTTAGACACAACTAGCAAGACTCAGATTTAACGCCATTTCTCAAGAAAATCATTAAACATTGCACGTTCTATCTGCTTAATGCACATATTTTCCAGGCAACCAAACAGAACATTAAGAGTTCTCTCATCTATCCATCAGACTTATGCAAGTGAATACCCAATAATCAAACAAGAACAAAAAAGACAAAAACAAAATCATAAGTACTAATTATTCGTGGGATTCATAGAAATTTTCCCAGGAACCAAACAGAAAATAAACCCTTCTCCCATCTACAAACCCAGAAAAGATAAACAAGTGAGTACCCAATAACCAAACAAGAACCAAAAAGACAGCAACAAGGTCATATCTACTAATTATTCATGGGATTCATAGAAATTTTCCCGGAAACCAAAAACAAGACAAAAACAAGAAGGATTAATGGAGGGAAATTACCCTGAACACTGATTAAGGCATTCAGGGAGACGAAAAGAAGAATGGGAGCGCGAGAGAAACCAGTTGGGTCACCGGCAAAATTGAGAAAGAGAGCCCTCCCGCTCCCCTTTGACCAGTATGAAAGAAGAAGAAATTCCTCAACCCCAATGCAGTGCCCAAAAAACCCACAGCCCCAACCCCTTTTTGAATCTCTATTTCACACACTGTTCCTCCCACGATCATCGCCTCCGTTTTAGCCATTTTCCATATTTGGCCGATTCAGACACCTTTTTTTCCTGCTAAAACTAAAACTGTCTCTAACAAACTTCAAATATCAACGCACTCTTTCATACTTTTGCTTCTTCTTCTTCATTTCTTCTCTCTCATCCGCTTCCCTCCCCCACGATCCGCTCTCCGCAGTTACAAATTCAAATATTTTTCTTTCTTTTTTGTTTTTTTGTTTGTTTTCTAATTCGTATATATAAATGGTTGGTTTCAAACAAGTTTTTAACTCTAAAATAGTCCCAAGTTCTTAACAAAAAATCTATGAATTTGTTACCACACAAATTTGAAATTTGTATGATTCTATTAAACATTAAAGTATTTATCTAATAAAAAAATCTTCAATAACATCTCTAAATTAAAAAAAAAAAAAAATCTAAAAGTATCTTTACGCTTCAAATTTTTTTATAAATTTTTAAAAGTAACATGATTAGAGATAATCATGTTACTTTTAAAAATTGAGTTCATCTTCATGAGTTCATGAGTTCATCTTCATGATCCAAGACTTTGATCATCATTTTCCATTCGTATTCTTCATTTCTAATCACATCATTTTCATATAAGCGATGGTAAGTGTGGTTCATCTTTTAGTCTCAATTTGATTTTGTTTGTCTCTCGGTTTTGGTTGATTTTTTATCGTTCCTTTTTATTTTCTATTTTATCATCACAATGCTACAATGTGTCACAATCTATTTTTAAGACTCGCATGACACTTAATTAAGAAAAAAATTGCATAAATGAAAGATGCGGACAAATGCTTGAGGGGAAAGTGGAGTTAAATCCATTATGAGTTTTAAAACTCGAGGTTCGATTATGAGTTTTGACATGATAGAATCTCTCTAAATTTGGTGTTCAACAAAAATCCAATGAATGCTCCATGATATTGTGTGACCGTTTGCAATATTTACTATTGCCACACAAAAAGTGCCTTAAAATATACAATAAGGGAGGCATGGTGTGTCAGCTCTCCACCACTCCTTGGCTCTGTGGCTTAAGTGAGCTACCCCATGACACATCGTGTGTCATGGTGTGGGAGGGTGTTGTAAGATGAACATCTTGGATGTCTTCGTTTAAAAATGGGGTTTTTGAGGTGTGGATATCGCGCCGTAGCCCATGAGTCGAAGATTGGTATATGAGGTCACTCTCTGGTACAATATCTGTAAATGACTAAGCATGGACATGAAAGAGTTCATGACTCAATAATACGTGAATGGATGGATGTTTGGGATGTCCCAACAACAAATTGACTCATGGGATCGGTTCTTGATAAGCATGATTGAGTGATCAACGAGGAAAAATGACATCTTGGAACTTCAGATGGCATCACGATACATGAACCATGTTGTTGAAAACTAATATGATGAGATAAGATGCAATGTTGCATTTTGACCTTGGTTGAAGAGACAAAGAGACAAGGTCAAACCTTATGACTGCCTAGAGTAGGGGCAATGCATGCACAAGTAGTTTTTGCATGATGGCCTAGTTCAGTATATTTCCAATAGACAGAGCAAGCTAGGATCGTGAGTGGTGGTTAGAGGTATAGACTTGAGTACACCTAGAGATTTGATTAGCCCTGAGGAGCTAATCTCGAGCGTCTTGGAAATGCTGGATGAGATTTCAGCCGGTTAAATGCCTCTAAAAACTTAGTAAACCTCCATTTCACCCAAGAAAATTTAATTAGAACTTATTAGGCCACAAGTAACGTAAATAGTATCAATTTTTGGAGTCACTATGTGTGTAGAAGCGAGTCAAGAGCCCATAAACCAACGGGGAGGGAACGATGGGCTACATAAGAAGTTACTTGAGGAGCTATTACTATGTGTAGAACCAGGTTGAGAGCCCATAGACTAGCCTTGAGAGGGGACAAGGGACTACATAACTAGCTGTCTTTAAGAGATACTATTGTGTGTAGGTAGCCGGCTAAGGAGGGTTGAGAGCCTCTAAACCAGCTATGAGAGAGGATGAAGGATTACTAAATAGTTTAGCTCATGATAGGTGTCATTATCATGTGTGGCCCAAACTTAATAGAGTTTACAGAAAAATATCGTGGTAACTTTCTAGGTTAAGGACGTGATGAGAGCTCACAAGTAGGTCATTTACTGAGTATTTTTAATTCTATTAGTCCTCATGATTGCTCTTATCTAGATGTGTTCTTGGTTCATTTATGTAATCCTTTACTCAAGTATTTCATAGCCACAATCTTCCACATTGGTTCGTCTCTGATTCATATCTTACTCAGACAAGCACCACTCTGATACCATTTGTAACGCCCCATGCCTAAAATTTGGATAACGATTCAAAATCCAAATTCAACACTTGATGACCTTGGCATTAGGACATGGTCACGCTATTTACTCCTCACTTATAAAAGTGAAACCTATCTCCACAAACTAACACGAGTCCTTTTACCATGCTTTGTCCTTACTCACATGCATCTTAGGAAGGTGCATCCAACATAGAATTTCTCGAACCAAATCACGCTTAACTTAGAGTTCCTATGATTGAGCCACCGTAAAGTGGTAGATTCACATATAAAACTCGATGAGTGTTAAAACAATATTTCCGAACTCATGATCCAACCCTCATGTACATCAACTACATATTAAACAAATACAAATGGTAACCCTAGTGCATCATCTAATGTGCTCCAAAATGAAAAACTTCAAATCAAATTCATGGTGGGAGTTCCACTAAATTTCCATTGCTTAGTGCCATTGAATTCCACCAATGTCACCAACGTGTTCATATCTCTATAAATACCATACTACAACACAACATAACCACAACACATACTAAAACTTGCAACACTTATGTTTTTTTTGTTGAAAATGAAGTTGCACCTTCTTCTCTTCCTTTTACTATCTATTCTCTCCATCTCTCTTCTTCCTCTACAAGTTGATGCTAGAAGGCTCTTACTCCAAAAATACTCTAACCCCATGAAGCGAGGCAGTGATTTAGAAGCAAAGTTTCATCATGAACGTTCCAAAGTCGAAGGAGAATCAGGAGGAGTTCCTTGCGACGATGACAAAGAAGAACATGAAGGAGTTCCTAACGACGACGATAAAGGAGAATCTGAAGAGGGAGTTCCTGATGAGGAAAAAGGAGATTCCGGAGAGAATTATGAATATGATTATTCTGAAGACGAGTTTGAGAGCAAAGACAAGGACGGCGATAAAGAAGATGATGATTATTACAAAGGCGGCGACGATGGCGAAGATAATCAAGGAGATGACTCTAAAGATGGTGACAATGATAATAAAAATGGTAGTGATGGAATAGAGGTTAGCGATGAGGAAGATCCTCAAGGACATGGTGTTAATATGAAGAAAGTTGGTGACTAAAAGAACTAAATTGGTCACCAAATTTAGAGATGAAATAAGAATGAAAATCAATGAGACGAATAAAGTTGATAATTTAATCGAGTTGATTCGAAAATATATGATCACATTAAACAATCCACGATAATAGAAGATTTGAGTCTCTACCACTTTGGTAAAAAAAAAAAAAAAAGTAATATCATAATTGGTTGAATTATGTTCAAATTGATATGTATCTAAGTTAGTCGGGTATATTTTTTTTAAACGGTTGCAACCGACCTAATTTTGGTATCAATCAATGACATAAAAAATAATTTTGGAGAATATATATTTTATGTCGACACTAAGAATATTTTCTAAAACCACCACATTTAAAGGGAGGGCGGTGAATTCTCTGTTTATAATCATTTACCGAATCAAATAAGATCAAATAAATTACAAACGAAATGGGAAGAGCAATAAATAGATGCACGAAGCTAAATATCCTTTACAATACAAGATATTATTTTATAATAAAGGGTCAAATATGATATATGATAAACCATAATTGAAGGTTAAATATCCGATCAATAGTAACAAGTTGAGCGATTGGGTATGAAAACTAAAATCTCGCTTCGAGTATAATGTTATATCCAACACGATTCAGAACTTAAATTAGTATTTAGACCGAAATAATGTCATGTTCGGAGCCAACTTAAGCCTGTTTTCATGAGCACTCTTTGGTGTACACTCTACGTGGCTTCCAACATTGGGTTTGATCATGCCTATAACATAACAAAATAATGTTTTATCCTAGAATATTATTAATATTAAATAAATGTCCTAGGATACATGTGGACTCCCATAGTGCCAATTATTAAATGATTAATCATAAGATATGGGGCTCTTTAGTGTTCTCATGGTTAAAATCACCATAGTGCTAATTATAATAATCCAAGCATTAAATTTGTGATGATAATATGAGACAAAATGTAAGTTTTAGATGATAAGGTTCGAAAAAACACGAGCACGCTAGCTTAAACTATAAGTTGTTTAGATATAGTAAAACGAAATTAATTTAGATGAAAGGTATATTTTTTTACAACAATCTATGCAGTATAATAACTCATTTTTCGAGACTTGAATTTATAGACAATGTTCAAACGATGAAAAAAACTCTAGTCTAATAGTCTCCTTTGCAGTTGCACGGCTCCTACATTCTCTTATCATCGACCATTCATCTACAATCTACTGCAAAATAAAGAATAGAAAGAATGTGTGTAACACTCGTACCCGATAATATCTATTTTTTTTTTCTTTTAAATTTTAATTTGAGAGATTTTAATTTGAAAGTAGTGAATGTTGGATGATGAAAGTCTCACATCGGTTAATTTAGGGAATGGTCATGGGTTTATAATGTAAGAATACACTCTCCATTGGTATGAGACCTTTTGGGAAGCCCAAAGCAAAGCCATGAGAGCTTATGCTCAAAGTGGACAATATCATACCATTGTGGAGAGTCGTGTTCGTCTAACAGTGAAAAATAAAAGGAAGTCAAAGTCACCATCTTTTTCGTAATTATGATCATGTAAGTGATTAATGAGAGGGAGGAGGGTTTTAGAAAAACAAGTGTTCGAGGCATCCCGATCTATCCACCTAGAGGCACTTTTCAAGACGTGCATAGTGTGAAGACATGTGCTGCAACCTTGTATATTGAGGAAAAGAAATGCACTCAAGGCTCGAATATAGGATGCGGGAGTTGGAGGAGTGAATTATAAAGCGAAACGTGCCAAGTAGCGGGCGCGATTGCTCCACAAAAGGCATGTGCGCTACTGTCACGGTCATGCTTTTCTAAGGCGTGTTGTCTATGACCGCATGCTGGATGTCTTGATCATGCTTGTCTAGGACGTATTGTCCATAGCCGCATGTCTGTTCCAAACCCATTTTACATGCTTTCATCTTAGATAGGCCTTTATTGCATATTATGTCAATAGGTGGGTGGATGTATAACAGTTCACCAAAATTATGTTTACATCCGCCTAGGCTAAAATATCCCACAATGTACTATAGGAAATATGACTAGTCGTCATTTCTTCCTACCTAGGTGATATGCTATCAAAGGTGTTGTTGTTGCCTAATCGCTTTTAGTTTATAAATTTTTTTTTCTTTCAAATTGTTTTCAATATACTTTTTCGCTCATGTTTTTCAAAACATTTCTCTCAAACGTGACTCGAGGCTCGAGCATACGCCGACGTTGCCTGCAAAATCTGAATTTCTCACAGCTGACTTGTTCGCTGGATTAGAACAAGTGTTGTACAATCGTTGTCTCGTTACCAGAAGAGTGCGATTGTGACAAGTTGTATCAGAGCCGAGTCGGTTCCTTGAAAAGTAGTACAAAAATATGTCCACTGCTGTGCAAGTCTCAGGCTGACCAAATGACTGAAATCGAAAAGTAGTTACTTTCCATGAGGAAGTTCATGATAGAATGAGACTATTGGAGTCTTGCATGAACGAGATTGTCGCTAAAATCGACAGGATCGATGGAATGGCAGGCTTTCTTGAAATCATGTATGTCGGCAAATTAATGATTAGGGTCGAGGCCCTAGAAGACATGGCCACAACTATTGGTGGCTTCAAGTGTAGGGATAGCTCAACAGGCTTTGTTGTCGGAACGAAAGAACGTGTCGAGGGCTTAGACAAGTCCCAATAAACGATCTTTCAGATGGTCTAAGAGTTGTAAGGACTGAAGAGGTGGATTTAAACACTAAATTAAACGTGATCAAGGAAGTGGAGGAGAACCAAACCCCAACTAGGGGTACAGTATAATTTAACAAGATAAAGGTCCTAGAGTCCAAGCCCTTGTGGGGTACAAGATGCCAAGGCTCTAGAGAACTTTATCTTCTACCTCAAACAATACTTTTGAGTCATAAATACCGTGGTAGAAGAAGCGAAGATCGTGTTGGCAACAATGCATCTAACCGACGATGCAAAGTTGTGGTGGAGGTCCAAATACATGGACATTCAAGATGGTCAATGTATTGTGGACACTTGGACTAACATGAAACAAGAACTTTGCTCTCAATTCTTCTTAGAGAATGTCGATATAATCTCAAGAAGGAAGTTAAGAGAGTTTAGGCATACTGGCAGTATCTGAGACTACGTTAAATAGTTTTCTGGGCTTATGTTAGACATTCGTGATATGTCCGAGACAAGCAAGGTCTTAAATTTTGTTGAGGGATTGAAGTCATGGGCGAAAATTAAGCTCAACGAACAAAGAGTTCAAGACCTTTCCATGACCTATGCTACTGCCGAATGAATATTTGATCTTAGTATCGATCAACTCCAAGAGATAGGGTAGAACCAATTGTCCACAAATGATGTAAATATGAATTAATGAATCAACTCCCTCAAAGATAGGGAAGTGATAAACTGAAAGGCAGAGAAGGGGAATGTGAGTCCTCCCAACCGAGAGATAGGATTGCATGGCGAAGACCTCACAGCCTGAATAATCATAGTCAAAGTTGAGACCTAGCGTCTTGCTTTATATGCAAAGGGGGCGGTCAAGAATTTGAATGCCCACAAAAGACGACATCATACTCTTTCCATGCAAAACTCAAAGTGAATTTAGGAGTCGGGTATGAGACGATAGAAAAAAAAATGTCGTTAGCTTTGAACACCCTCAGATGGGGGACTAAAGTACTTGTCTGCTCTCTTAGAATAGAGTGGAAGAGACAGATGAGCCAGTGGAACACAATCTTATGTATGTCGAGGTCTGGGTTAATTCCAGAGTGACCAGAAACACTATTATCGACTCTGGAGCCACCCACTACTTCACATAGGAGACCGAAGCAAAACGCTTGAATATCTTTTGGCATCGAGACGTAGGAAAGATAAAGGCCATCAATTCGGCAACTTTACGTGTATTAGGAGTTGCCAACAGAACTCCAATGAAGCTAGGGACTTGGACTGAACGAATCGACTTTGTGATGGTCAAGATGGACGACTTCGATATCATGTTAGGGATGGACTTCTACTAGAACATAAAATCATTCCCATGCCCCAAGCAAAAATGCTTAGTAGTAATGGGATCCAACCTAATGATTATCAAGACAAACATTCGTTAGCTAAGAGGGGTGAAAAAGATGTGGGCACTATAGTTGAGAAAGGATCTTAGCCATAATGAACTAACGATCGCTACCATTACCATATTTGAAGAGGGAAGCTCGAGTGAGTAAACCCCAACAGAAGCCTCGCAATCGATACAAAAATATCGTGATGTGAGGCAAGGAAATGAGACAAATATGATATAAACTATCGTGATGTGAGACAACAGAAGCCTCGCAATCGATTCAAACTAGCATACGTTGCACTAAATTCTAACAGAGATCGCCAGCACAAAAGAGTGTCACACGACTACGTTGAGCGCTGAGTTGCCAACATTTGGGTGTAATAGCCAAAATAATAATAATAATAATAATAATTAAATGAAAAGAAGATTGTTTAAAAAAACTCTCCCCAGTTCTCTCTACTAATCTGTCATCCTTATCCCCAATTGGTTAATAAATATTTGTGAACAGAATTAAATTGATAAGAATCAATTAAATTAAACCATTAAGAATCAATTAAAAATTGAGACTATACATTAACAAAATTAAAATGTTAAGAATCAATTAAATAAAACCATTAGAATCTTCTTTGCCGGGTTGGTTTCACTTCTGCGAACGACCTCTCAAAGGTCACTTGTCTTTGTTTCATCCCTCATTGTGTTGAGTCATGGACTAATCACGACACAAAAAAAAAAACTTACTCACTAATAATTTTAAGAAATCTCTAATGTAGAAAATTAAACAAAGTATACTAAAAATTTCAAGAAATCAAACAACGATACTATATGATTTGGATTTGTTTTGGAATAAAAAGGTAAATATGGTGAAAGGTTATTTAGAGACACTCACTAGTATCTATTTCTAAAACATCTAAATTTTTTTATCTAAATCTTTTCTTAAAATATTTAATATCTTTATTCTAAAATAAAGATATTATTTATTAAAAAATTCGTAATAATTATTCGACTTTGGATCCATCCTATTGTATCATATCATGCCTAACAAACTGAACATATATATAAGAGAAAACACG